GATTTACCGCTTGTTGTGCATCACGGGGTGCTGTACCCAATGTCTCTGGATCCGGTGGACCTCAGTGGTCCGTAAGTGTTTCTTAGAAGTCATGTAGTTCAGGACTGTGTCTGCAGTTACGGCACTGTGTTGTAGTCTTTCGGTTTCTGCAGGCTTCCTTCTTCATGCAGCAAAAATTCATACTTTTCGGGGATATTTAAAGTATTGTGTTGCCTACCCATATTCCATTGTTTTTCAGTTGTATGCAAGTTAGACAAAACCTGTCTTAGCATAGACACACCTTACTGTCTTGTCTGGGGTAGAAGCGTATGTTAAGCATATGTTAAATGGTGTTACATCAGGTACCCTTAACACGGTGCTGTTAAAACAGTTAGCGTGTGGGACTATTCATTCCCAATGTAATGACTTAAAAGAACTCAACAGTCTCTATCTGAAGACTTGACTATAACCCACATGCTAAACTGGCTGTCTTCCCCACTTCAATTACTACAGCATTTAGACATAATGCCAGAGAGATTTTGCATTGTTGGGTTCCACTGACACCCATGTGCTAGCAGGGTCAAATAATGGAAATTTATGCTTTTTGTGTTGAGGTTGCCCTGAAAGCCATGTATCCAAAGGTTTCCATTATAGAAGAAAATATTCTGCGTGTTTGACTAACATTTGTTTATGTTAGTCTTAAAATATTTTGACGTTTCTAAGGATGCCATAAAAGCTTCCTCATCTTCTTTTACTCTAAAATGAGAGATGTTAGAGCTCTGTCACAGGGTGACATTACTAAGCATGTTTTAAGTTTCTGAGTATATTTCAAATGAATTAGCGATACCTAAAGCAGACTCACAAAGTTTTTGTGCCTTAATTATTTTAGCATTGCAACAGGAAACATTTTTAAATGTTTCATGAAGACATCTAGGTCTTAATTAAAAATACAGTTTTCCTGCCCAGAAGTTTACATTTCAAAGAGGCGTTGCATCAAGGCAACGCTTTTAAGAAGGGATGATTTTTCTATCATGAAATTTCACAGATATCCACATGCCTCAACAGCACAAACATCCCTTAAGTAAAAGATATGTAAGGTGGCACTTTGTGGCTTATGCTTTGTTTCTGCAGTAAAGCTAGAAGAGTTTGCGGAGGGTTTTAATTGAAAAACTCTTTAAAGGTGCCTGCTAGAGGACAGTACTGGTATACGTAGGAGGAGAAGTGCTGTGCTGGGCCTTACCTTCTAGTTAGAGGATGCTTGTCTGCTCCTAGGTTTCACAACAAAGGAGTTTACGTGAAAGTTGGGCTACAGAAGATAAGTCATACCAGAAATCTTCACAAAGACATAAAGCTTCAAGTGGACCAGCACGAGGTGGAGTTACCAAGTATAGAAGGACTCATTTTTATTAATATACCCAGGTAAAAAGGAGAGGAGGGATCCTGTGTGGATGCACATCTGGCTGTGTGTGTGGAAATGCTGCTTGGTATTTGAGCATGAAATGTCAAATGGTTAGATACAATGTTAAATGGTCTAGATTAATAGATGGTTGTTACTGGGTATTTTTGATTATTGCCTCACTCACTGGCTTGGCAACTGTGCCTAAGGAGCTAGCTCTTAATGCCCTTTTGACATTGTTTTTCTGATTCTTTGAAACTCACGATCTCACTCTGCTTGAAGGTGGTACAATCTTGTTTTCCCAGTGCAAACCCCATACATTTGCTATTTCTTCTGTGTCCTAAGAGTAATTTGGAATAATTTCCTCACCAAAGGTCTTCAGACTTCTTTTGGACCAGTTTTCTAGTAAAACATGACTTTTTAGGCATGGCTGTAGGCCTGTGGCTTCTGTCCACTACCATTTTCCCTGTCCCCGAAACTGTTTGATTGCTCCACCGGATTTCACCGTGGCTTGTAGAAGAATCGGAGATGCACACCCTTTCTGGCGTGCTGGAGACCAGGTGCCTGAGCAGTTCCTGCAGTGAAGGCCAGCCAGGTTTCAGCTGTCAAACACTGTCCAGCTGGTCAGTATATGTGGAGTGGGTGATGCTGCCCGGGTGGCTGTGGAAAACCTATGGCTCAGGTGCCTTTCGCGGGGTTGTTGGGGCTGCCTTGACGCCCACAGGAAGCTAGAGTTACTGCTGTGGGAGGAAGGAAGGCAGATCTGCAGGAAATCTGGCTTCCTTAGGCGTGCTGTTGATAGAGGCAGGTATTTTGTTTGCTCAATACCATCAGGTAATTAGTGCTGCCATACTAGTATCTTTTCAAGTACACCCATATCTCAAACTACCTGTATCTCTTTCCATTTTAGTCTGAAAGTGTTTCAACTTTTTATTAAACTGTATTTATTTACATGTACACACACGTATGTGCACATGCACATAGACATAAGTATACGCTGCACATGAGAACTGCAGAGAACAAAAGATGGCGATTAGTACTGAGCAGTCAGGGCACTGAAACAGTGAGTGAGTGATCTGAGTAAGGAGAGTCAATACTGCACAAAAAGCAACACGGTGTTAAATTGTCAGAAGTGTTTCAGAGCAGTGAAGTGCATGAATACCTGCTCCGTGACAGGCAGCAGGTCACTGTGGTGTGCTCTCTGCACAGCTGGGGGTCCGGAGCCGATCTTTGGGGGTCCGAGAGTGATAACCGCTTTGAGAAACCGCGCATTGATGACGGCCTGCTGGAGGTTGTTGGTGTGACCGGCGTCGTTCACATGGTAAGTGGGCATCCCAGTAAGAACAGAGAAAACACATGTTTTCTCAGGCTGGTTTATTTTTGTAATGAACAGTGCATTGCAAGTGCACAGTCCTAAGAAGTGTGCATCGATGTTGAGGTTATACCATCATTTGTTCAGGTGCTTGTTTTGTCATGCAGAAATGGTTGTAGACCATAAACAGATTTCATGGGCAGCGTCAGCTGTCTGTGGACAAAGCATTCGGATGGTGGGAGTTCAGCTGCAGCTGGTGTGCCTGTTCGTGGACTGCAGTGCCCTCTTGTTGTCTGCTTATTGTCCTGCACTGAAGATCCACATTTAGGTGCCAGACTATGACAGGTGGAATGGAAGCTGAAGAAACCTGTGGCTGGATAAGCAAAGTAATAGAAGTGTGGAGAACTTGTTAACAGTGCATGGGCTAATGCTTCATGACTTAAGTGGGCTTTGAACCAAGGGAGGAAACATACACGCATACGTATATATGAAATGCAAATATATATATATATATATATATATGTATTATGGAATGCACTAGCTTTCTTGTAACAGGTATCATGGTGTCAAAACCACACAGTTCCTGGGATGAAAACAAGATTCTATTTTAATATTACCAAAATGATCCACTCTTCACTTAGCAGATTTGCAAAAAATCTTGCCATACCTCATCACAATCAGGGCAGAGATGCCTTCTAGACGGGTGGCTTTATAATTGTCTGCCACAGGCTTTCCAACACCTGTCCCTGACAATCTGATGCTAGCTGCTCTTTATCCAAATGCTGTGTGAAGCAGATGATACGCCAGTTCTGCAAAGAATATTATGACTCAATTTATGCAATTTAATTCTGCCATGTATTACGTATTTTTACAATGGTGTGCTATTAGCAACACAGTCCTGCGGGATGGCGAGTTATTTTTGTCTTTTCTTCATGTTTCTTTCACTGCCTTAAGAAAGCTGCTTCTGAAAAAGTGCATGTGGTCAAGTAACTAGAGACAACGAATCCATGCAACCACCAAAAATGGAAAGGGGGGTGCTTAAAATGGTTTGCACAGCTCGATCTTTGGTGTTGGGCAACTTTACTGTTTTGTAATTTAGATCTGTTAAGGAAAACAGATATAAAACATTCCTTTAGAAGAAGTGGTTTGGTAGACACCGTTACATTTTTTGTGAAGTTGGAAGCAACAAGGAGTGTACCCATTGCTTTGGGACACAGATGTTAACAAACCCATGCTCTGATTTTGTGATCTTCTGTCAAGGTTTTTACCCCTGCCTTTGGTGTCTGTACACATTCCCCAAGAGAATATGTAGCAGCAAAGTTCACTTTGCTTCACTTTTTACAGTTAATACTCAGCCATTAGTTATAGTTGAGTATATGTGTACGTATATGTAGTTGAGTATATATTTGTGTGTATATGAAGTTGAGTTTGGCAAAACTCTCCCTATTGATAAAGTGCTTTTAGACTTTTGAGTTGCACCTGTGTTGAAGTCTGCATGCACGGTTAGCTGTTCTGAAAATGTGTTTACTACATTGTGGAGGGGAGAAGTAGAAGCAAACCATTGTGAGTGCCTGCGCCTTGGCCAACCTGGGTGTACTAACGACTTCACTGTGTATTTTGCCATTTTGCCTCTGGCAGCCTGCAGGGGTGTCAGTTCTTCATACACTAACTTCAATAGTTAATGCTGTGTCAGTAAAGGCATCTTATGCAGATTTTGCCTGAGCAGTTCTTTTACTTGAAACGTAAAATGTCTTGTGAGAATGAAATTCTGTCGACGCAGTTTAAGTGCAGCTAATATTTGTGCTTCTCTTTTATTGGGGTGATTGATTCCTGGCTTTTACTTTATAACAGGGTCAAGTCCAAGGTGGTTTTCGATCAGGAATCCGCATAGCCCAAGGCTCATATTTTCGTGTAACACTCCTAAAGCCAATTCCAGTTCAAGTTGATGGAGAGCCCTGGATTCAGGCCCCTGGCCAGATTATTATTTCTGCTGCAGGACCAAAGGTACTGGCTATAGGTTTGTCTTAGCAAGCTGACTTTGTTTCTCCAGAGGATGTTATCGTATTATCCTGCTTTTTTGTTGTCTTCTGATGCTTAACTTTAGAGGAGCTAGCAGGAACAGTGTGGTAACTATTGGATAAATACATAGCAGTTTCTGCAGAGGATGGTTTGAGGGCCCTTTCCACTGGCTCAGATGAGGCTCTTGTTTAAAAAGATAGTCCATGAGCTTCAGCCTAGTGACTTAATTTTTTCCCCTGTACTGAGATCTCCAGGCAGTGTTGCTTGCACTGAAGCAGATCACAGTTACGAGGGCCGTGGTAGTACTGCGGTGTGCGAGGTAGGAAGCAGTCTGCTGTCAGTGCTGGAGGAGGGAAGCTCTGTCGGAGGGCAGCAAAGGAGAAGACTGAATAATGGAGGAGGAGGGTCTTAGAAAAAGAGACTTTGGAGTAATCAGTGTCTGTCTTTCCTTGATACCTCAACGTATGTGTAGAAGGAAAAGAGCATCTGCTACCTAAGAATTTGACTTCTCTGTTGACACTGAAATTGTGAAATCATCGCTTTGCAGTAGTTGACTCTGGTGCACACCAGTCTACATGTTTGTCTGCTACCTTAAGGATGCCTTTTTAACTCACAGAAATTTGTTGCTACAGGCAATCTTGGAGAATATGTAGCCCTGCCAAGAGGGCTACCAGAACAATGGCCCTTGCAGAGGAAAAATGGGTGAAAAAGAGGGTCATACCTCAAATGTTTTGGAATATGTTAAACTTTGTTCTTTTCCTGAGAGAAAGGGGGAAAAAGAGAAAGAGAGAGAGAACAAACCTAATTTGTCCTTCCAGTGAGAAATATTTCTATCATTCTGTCAGGTTAGTGACTAACAGTGTTATCTGTATGTATGTGTATGTATATGTGTGTGTGTACATGAATATACATGCACACGCATACATACCCATATACGTCTATATACATATACATACATGTCTATATATGTTCATGTAAAAAAGCAGTTAATCCTATAGCTTTATAAGGACAGGTGCTTCAGATAGTTGTGTATTATATGTTTTTCTGTGGCAGTTCCAACGTTTTACTTGTTTATTAGTTGCCTTAGATCTAATTATAGGTGACTGCAGATATTTTAATACTCACTTTCTTTTAAAACTTTCCACTTTAGGTCCATATGTTGAAAAAATCCAAGCAGAAACAGAAAAAAACTGGAAGCCTGAGAGAGATGAGAGTGGATAGCATGTCAGTCTCTGAAGGAGGACGCTGAGGGGAGACCTGTGCTCCGAAGTGATGCAGCACACCTACTGTAAATACCAAGATGGTTCAGTAAAATTGAGTGCAGACAACTAGTGAAGAGCGTTGCTTATAAGCGTGCCTTTCATTACATTTTGATAGTACTGGGTTCTACTTCGTCTTTCAAAGATAGTGCCTCATTGTTAGAAGTAACTATTACGTACCACTTGTCTCATCTGAAAGTTTACTTTGGGTTGCTTTTACATAAGCCATTTCCCAGTTTTTCACATATATAGCAACTGAGGCCAAACAGAAATTCCAAGATGCTGAGATTTCTGCATCTACCTTCACAAAGATTCTTCACCTCCTCCCAGCTTTTTCTTAAAGAAAATCATCCCATAGATAAATTTTGGTGCATTGTTCCATAAATGAAAATGTGTTCCTTTAAATTAATGCTCACAGTAGACTCATAACCAAAAAAAGGCAAAGACATGAGCTGCTGAGAACTCCTTGGCTCGGTCCGAACAGCACAGCTGAAGCAGTACTGCAGTAAAGAGAAAAATACAAAATGCAGGGGAGATGATTTGTGTAAAAGGAGCCCCGTGCACTGAGAAGACAGAAAGTACTAGAACGGTTGAGTCAGACTATTTCAGGCTGTTTACTTCAACAGTATTTGGACAGTGTGAATGAAGGGGAAACAGCTTGTAGAGCAAGTTTTCAACTGCAGCTTAGTTTCTCCTGTATTATTCAGCCAAAGGCTGTTTTAAAAGGCATTTGAATTTCAGCAGATATCACTGTAACATAAAACAGGAACAAGAATATCTGAGGCAGTGTTCCATTATACTGATTTTTTTCTGTCATTGAAACCATTATCTTTGACACCAGACTTTTCCTCTTGTCTTCACTTGTGCTGTTTCATTTTCATTAATTTGTCACAGTCGGACTGTTATTTAACAACAAGCTCAAAGACTGAAAGAAGCATCACTAATTAGGGTAAAAGAAATACCATTTAGCGTTCACTTAAGTAGATTAGCACAGTCATATATTAGAGCTGAACTGAAGTACAGTGTAGCTTCACTGAGGAGCCATAGGAGTTATTGAAGCCTGTAGTGTGCATGTGCTGTAGGCTTCAGATAACTGGGAATGCGATAGCCATCACGAAAACTCATTTACCTGGTCAAGCCTTCTCAAGTCCTGGGTGGGTGTTGTTATCAGGCATGGGCCCGGGGACACAGTGACTGTCTTTTGTCACTTGGATGAGTGTGTGCTCTTCAGAGGCTGTTCCTCTGAGAGCTGCTTTGAGACCAAGATCACCTCTCTGTGCTTACCCATCTGCTAAAGATGTGGAGATCCAATACTTTCTCTTACAGCTTCCTGCTGGAGACTGGCACTAGAGCAGACATGCTGGTCCTGTCATGCACTACCTGTGTCTGCTGCCCTTGGATGTAGTCGTGCTGGTCTTCACTCACATCTCTGCTGGTGTCATCTCACCATAGTTCTCCGGTGACAGAACCTACAGAACCTTTCACTTCAGGTCAGCATTGTGCACAAGCGGCCCTCTGAGCCAGCTGCAGTGCAGGAGGCCTGTATGGTTTTGCCACTTGTATGCATCTACTGCTGGCAGCTATTTAAGCCATGGCCAGAGCCCACTTGGCTAGGCAGTGGGCTTACTTGTCCTCTGTTGCGCGGTAATGACTAGCTCAGCTATGGATGGCATGAATTCATCACTCAAGTGGCAGCTTTAGGAGTGTTCCTCTTGCCAGTGTGTCTAGAAAAACATCTCCAGCTTCAGGGAACTTCAGTGTAACTTGAAAATTGCAAAAGCCGTTTTGTGTTGGAGCTAATTAGGTGCTAAGGCAGTTCTTGCTGGGTCTTGTTGATCAGTCTTGTACTCTTAAGCACTGTGCCAGCTTCAGCAACATCTGGTTGTTGATACAGTTGGCCGCCTGGGCTGCAAGTGCACATTGCCAGGTCATTCTGAGCTTCTCATCAACCTGTATCCCCAAGTCCTTCTCCTCAGTCCTGCTCTCAATCCGTTCCCCACTCAGCCTGTATCTGTGCTTGGGATTGCCCCAGCGCAAGTGCAGGACCTTGCCCTTGGCCTTGTTGAACTTCATGAGGTTCACACAGGCCCACCTCTCAAGCCTGTCCAGGTCACTCTGGACAGCATCTCTTCCCTCCAGCACATCAACTGCACCACACAGCTTGGTGTTGTCCACAAACTTGCTGAGGGTGCACTCGATCCTGCTGTCCATGTCCCGGACAAAGATGCTAAACAGAATGATAGAGCTGAAGCTATAAACAGTCAAAACAGCCATGCAAAAATGGCAGCCACCTGCAGCCTCTCCTTCCTGTCCAGTGATTCGTTCTGTTCTTGGTGTTCTGGTAGAGATGCATTTGGAGGACTAACTCCTGCTTTCAATGGAGCCTGCTATTAATTGTTTAAATTGTTGATTTAATATTAGGGATGTACTTCAGGTACCACCATGTGGACTACAACTTATCTTTTTATTCAACATGCAGACTGGACTCATGCTATGGAGGAGATAGTACGGATAGTCCTCATCTCCTGATCATTTAACGCAGAATTGTCTCTGCTTTGGAACCTGGGCATGAAGGAGCTCTGGCATCCTGGTACCAGCATTACAAGTAGGAAGGGTCAAGTGTTCTATTTCAGGGTATGCCCTCTCAGGATGAAGCTCACAAATTAGAGAGGAAATCTGAAATAGACTGCTGCTTATAATTGTCCAGAGAGCCAGAGAAACTGCTTTATGTTCCAGGTCAGCAGAAAGAACACATTGTTCTTCTTCCCAGTTGCTAACTGAGTAATGGAGAAGAAAACTTGATTTTCTGTTACAGAATACATGCATAAGCTTTAAGCTTGCTGGTACTGACCATCTTCTTCAGCCCAAGCAAATAAACCTGTCTCACTATTTTTCCAGACACACGTAATCCTGCAGCATGCAGCTGGCAGTGTTTCATGTTCTTGGCTCATTAAAGGCCTGACTGTCTCTCTCTGTTGCTCAATATCTGTTACGTGAAATAACACAAAACTCTTGGGTCACAGCGGTTTAATCAGAGGGCCCCTTACTGTGGTGTATCCTCCCATGGGGATTTTCCATCCGTGGAACCCTGCACAAGCCTGCCTTGGGGTAGAGTCCTGGTAGCAAGGTGTCACAGAGGTATGAATGTGTTCTCCTTGCAGCTGCCAGAGGGGATCCTGGTGGAGGACAGAAAGGTTTTGAGTTTTCTTTCTTCCTTCCCTTTTCTTTTTTTCCAGAAACAAACTCCCACATGTTGTTTGAGCAGATGAGTGCCACAGTGGAATGAAAATGTATCTTAAGAAAAACATACTTGGCATTTCAGGTCTCTGTGCCTCATAAAATGATGCTTAGTGTGTTTTGAAGACAAAACAGGTTCCTGAGCAGTTGATAGGAAAGCTCCTATAAAGCTTTTAAAAGGAGAAACTCATTATTTAACCCCTCTATTAAGATGTTCCAGTTTCAGATACTGTAAAGGCCAGTATATCAAGAATACGTATATACTCTTTTTTTTTTTTTTTTCACATTTTCACCACACATAGTATCTGAGAAGGCCCAGTATTTTCTTCCATAGTATGTAAGACTTCCTTGAAGAGAGGAGGTAACTGTTTGCACTTACTATGAGACATTTTGACTTCGCCTTTAAGTTGAACAAAACAATGCAGTATAGTTTATATGGTAGAGGGCAGATAAATGATTCTTGGCACTGAATCTTCAACTAACATTGTGTGAGAACCTAGTGGTCACATGGCCAAGTGCTTTAAATAATGCAATAACAAAAAAGTTGGGGAAGAGGCTCAGCTTTGTCAAGGCAGATGTTAATCAACATCAGGGACATAGGACCAAGAACCAGAATCTATCAGCAGGGAGGAGATGCAGGCTCATTGCTATCCAGAGCACGCTCCTTCATCCTCTCTCCACTGCCCGCCTTCTTACTGTGCCTATAAACCATGGCAGGCACAGATAGCACAGCTAGCATCTCTTCTGCTGAGATATGTGGTCCTGACATTTTACTAGTGTCCTACTAGGTTTTGCCATCACAGGCGAGAGAAGGGTCCTGAAAATCGTGGTACATTTCAGATACGCTGCTACTGCATACAAGAGAAGGTGGTCAGCTAGTTAAAATCTGTTTTGATGGGTAAGCACATTACCTCTGTCTTGAATTAGGAGATCGAAATTCAAAAGCTCGTCCCTGAGATACAGGTGCTACTTCAGAAAATTTGCTGCTTTTTCCCCATGGCTTTTACACATGATTTTTGTAGTTTAAATTGCTGATGTCTTCATTGCATTGATTTTTAAATGAAAAGGTGTTATTTTGCCAAAAACTTTGTTTATTTATGTACGTGTGTATATGTGTGTGTACGTGTAGGTGTATACATTCATATGCGCACACCCTCTAAGCCTTACTGTATTTCGTTTCGCAGTGCCTACTTGTACAGCTTTTGCTGTGTTACATTCTGATAGCATTCACCTCTGGATCTTTCTTTCACCAGTTTTGGACAGGAGGCAGAGCTTGCTTTCTTACTGGTCCCACTGGAGTTCCCAGCGCACATTTCTAATGGACATGTGCTTTCCAACAAGACGTGATGGCAATATAGTGAAAGCACAGCTGTGTTTAGAGTGCAGTCTCTGCATGTGTACAGTTTGAGCTCCTCTTGCTCTTTCTAGGTTTTAGTCAAGCCTATGTGTGCAATCAGTGGCAGAGGGTATTGTAGCATTTTAAAAACTAGGAGAATCTGTAGCATAGTCCATTGCAAGACTTAAGGAACAAAATTAAATGAACTGTTATAGACAATTGCTCATTAATCTTCACAGTTACCCTCTTACAAGTATTGCACCCATTGCATTTCGTGAAAGAGCAAGTAATGTACTTGTTTTGAGTATCAGCTGTTTGGAATCGCTAAGCGTTTACACGTGCACATTACTCTGCAGCAGTCTGTTGGCGTATAAATGTGTCATCAGATGAAGCCTCATTTTGTGGGAGTAGAAGGTAAGAGGAGCTGTTGCGACACTTAAAAAGAACTCACATTGAAGACACAACAGGTTCAGCCACATAGGTATTTTGTAACATACTGACTGTGTGGGCAGGTGTGCCCTGTGTTGCATGGCCACCGGTCCATACTCCGGCACTGGAGTTGTGCACTTGAGAGACCTGGCAGTAGATCCTCTGTCAGTCTGCGCCTCATACCTCTTCCTTACAACCTCCATAGTAATTGTGCATTTCCCTCTTCTGCTAGGCTGCCTTCCTGCCCCTTGGGCCCAGCCTTTATACTGAAACTGGTGACAAAGGCATGAGTATGTGGTGGTGGGCATGTGTGGGGAGCGGGGGAATGAAGATCCTGCTCTAAAACACCGCTCTGGTTATTGGGCTTGGACTGTTCAT